GGTGCGCACACGCCCCAGTCACACAGTAAGAGGAGCTGAGAAGTACCAACTGCGTAACTGAATGCGATCCACTAAAGCGTCAACAACTAAGTCTTTGGAGACCGACGTCTGCTTCTTGCCATTGTGCCAAGAATTGAATTGCAGTGTGCTCTGCCATCCTGTGGTTGGATAATTTGCCTGCCCGCATCAGCAAGCATCATTACTTGCAGGCTGCAATGCATCCGGGCTGTAACGCATCCGGGCTGTAACACACCCGGGCTCTCGTGGGACTCACCCATCAGCGGGTTCAGGTGACTCACGCACGGGCAGTGGAATATGCTGGCTTCCTCCTGCCTCGTCCCATCTCTGTCCCCCTCCACTGTTCGCGGACGTCCCCCTGACCCAGCGCAGCCGCCCCGCTGTGCATCAGCCTCCTGGAGCCCTTGGGCTGCCCAGCGGTGGGAACACACTGGTTTCCGTGTGGAAGGACAGCATACTCTGGGTTTTCTGGGGCCAGAAGGTTCTCAGTGAAGTTCCACATCCCTACGTTTTCTAAGTTTACCCTCGTTTGTAACCCCCTTCCCTTCAAAGGACACTGACCGGCTCACCTTTTCTGGTTCTCAGAACTGCTTTTCTTCATGCCATCGCCTCACTTACCTGCATAAGTAGTAACTGAGAAGGTAACATGCTTTGGTGGCTCAGTGACACGTAAGGCAGCCGTGCTGTCAGGCGTGTGCTTACGCCTCAGCTGTTCTCTCTCAATCCATCTGATCTTGTCAGAATGTCACCTCCAGCCTGGCAGCCCCGGCTCAGACTTGGGACCGGGACCCATCCTTTCAGGGTGGCATTGTGACCCGAGCCTATGAGGGACACTCGGCCCTCCATCGTCAGTGTCCCTGCAGACCCCCGTCCCCCATGGCCCACGTCCGCCGGCCACACTGGTCCACGTGAGCCCCTCGGCTCCCTGACACCAGAGCGTCACGTCTCCTCTTCGCTGTGCCGAGGTCCCTGCCTCCCCTCCTGGTCACTGGCCACGCTCACTACTGGTCTCTTTTCAGTGGTTACCCTGCTATGTTGGCTTCAAGTCACCTCTTCAGGAAACCGCTCTTTCTTCCCCAAGCCCCTCTCTCTAACGTGCCCCCTCGATTCCGCCCTCATCGCCCTGGACCACGCCTCCATCCGTGTGTCTTCCTCAGGACTTGTCAGCACCTGGGAGTGTGGCTATTGCCTGCCTCTCCTCTGGGATGGAAGTTTGCTGGTGGAGGGGTCCTGCCCTTCCCGACGCGTAGTGGGCGCACGTTAAGCACTTGCTGGGTGAATGACTCGGAGGCGTGGCTTGTGACGTCACCTGGAGTGAGGCCAGCATCACTGGGTTCAGGGAGGGGGCTGTGAAAAGCCCTCGTGAGCTCGTTCCTGCCAGGGAGGAGCGCTGTCGCTGAGTGTGAAGTACGTGAGGGAAGTTACCAGTATTTCACTCTGGGCTATTTTTTCACTTAGAGCTGATTCCCTTCATAATTAGAGTTCGTGTACGTGAAGACTGGAACTTCTGTCTTCTTCCTGAGTGTGGGAATGGGCCAGACAGAAACACGCTGGGGGTCCGCAAGGCAGGGGGCCAGGGCCCCCGTGTGGGGAGTGGAGCAGGTTGGGCTCCTTGCGTCTTCTGTGCCTGAGGACACCCGAGTCTATCGAAGTGGGCACCGAAGCTCACTGACAATCGGAGACGTCTTCCAGTAAATGTACCGCTTGGGGAACTTAAGCCTTCGAGTGAACACAAACGAGATGGAAAACACATTAAAACCTTTGCCTTTCATTTTTCAAAACTTGACTTTCCAGTAGACAAACCATCTTCACTGATGTCGTCATCAACCGTCCTTTGTGTTGGCCTGTCAGCGGCTTCAGAGTGCTCTAAATGACCGCATCTCCTTTGAAGAGCGGCACCTTTCAGTGCAAACAGCCTGGGCTTTGGAGATGAGCCCCCTGGGTTTACGTGTGGAAGGTCCTGCTGCCACAGGATTTAAGTGAGCCACTGTTTTAGAAGCACCTGGCGCAGGGCCCGGTACCCAGCAGGCGCTTGAACGGTGGTTCCTTCCTCTTGGAGTCACCGCAAGCCGAGGACCCTGCTGCTTCTCATCCCACTTCCGATGGGGAAGGTGAAGTTAGGAGGGACATGGAGACTCCGTGTCAGGTTCGGGACTGGGACTGTACTTCAGACTCCTGGTTGGGGCATCATTCGCTTTTACCACCACCCTGCACTGATGATGGTGGATAAGGAAGTCAAGAGGAGTGAGTGCCGAGGTGCGAGAGAGAGACCACCGCACTGTGCTGAGTCACCAGTGATGTGCTGTAGGTGACTGTGGGCTGGGCGTGGTGGGGCTTTCCGGGAGGAGATGCTGAGGGGTCGTGTGTCTATAAGCACCTGGGTGAGATGTGGGGGCTGGAGGCCTCTGGACGTCAGTGGTCGGGGTGCCAAGGGAGAGGGGACTTAGTTCTTCCATCTCCTTTCGTATTTAACAAAAATTGGTTCAGCGCTATAAAAAACTTTAACTGCATATCACAGTATTTATAATCTGCAGACGTAAATATTTACCAAAACTTTTTGAGAAACATACTTACATATATTTCTGGAAAGATGGAGAATCACAAGTATATGGCCAGTCAAGAATGTTTCTGATAGGAGTTTTTTCAAATATACAAATTTTGAGAAGTCAAAAAATTAATGTAAATTTTCTGTGCCTGGACACTTGCATGAAAGCATCAGAAATCTCTTTGACTTCCAGCTCTATCGTTTTCCCTTCCATTATTCCAGTTTCATTTCAGACACAACAAAAAGGCTCCATATTGGGAAGAATATTAGAGTCTCACAGAAATTTGAATTTTTGGTTGTTTCGTGTTTTCTTCCATCTAAACGCTTCTTCAAGATATAATTAAAAAACAAAACTCTACTGCTCAGAATTCTGCTCATCCACAGCAATTTCGTTCACTGCTGGAGACGCACTGACTAGGGTGATTACTGATCGTGCTGTTTCTGAAAGATGAAAGGCACTGAAGTCGCTCTGAGGTGGGGTTGGATTAGCTCTGCGTGCTGCTTTAAATTAAGCTTGGGCGCCGGCTGGGACACGCGGGCGTGGGGCCAGCCCCCGCTCTGAGTGCAGACGGCGGTCAGAGGCCAGCGCTCAGCCCGTCTTCACCTGGCGTTGCTTTGGTTGAGGGCCGGAAAGTGGCAGCAGAGACGGCCACGGCAGCTCATTTCCTGTGTGCGCAGAGTTTTTAAACTATTCCTCTGAGCAGGTCATTACTTCGGGGTTAATATTATTAATAAGAAACGGAAAATGTTTTCGGCAAGAAATTTGCTTAAGAAGAAAAAGAAGGAAAGAAAATTTGGCAATTAAGACCTCAGCGTGAAGTCACCACCTGATTGAATACCCATGGAGAAATGGGAGAGAAGCTGTGCCACCTCGTTTGAATTTCACCGTCACCTTTGGAATTTAACGTCCCTGTTGAAGGCATACTTTGGCAGAGTGTTTCTTTAAGCATTTATGACAACCTTTCTAGACAGTATCCAATGAGACAGCTTTTCTTAATTAGTTTATTAATTCTGAGTTGTTTCAAAGTACTGATAATCATTCGGACTGGCTAAACTGACCACTTACAAAATATACAGGGACAGAGCGTTGCAGGGGTGGGTCTGCTCCAGTCGGTTTGCTGTATGAAACTAAAACTGGGAGACCTCACACTGTGGCATTTAGAGGCTAGGCTCTCAAATAGTTATCAGCAGACCCATTACGCGTGATTGTTTATAGTTCAAATGTATGGAAAATTAAATCCATTTGCCTTTCTAGAACGACTCCTAAATGATCCCCAAAAAAGGGTTGACCATGAATTCTTACTTCCTAGTGGAAAACTATAGTAATTCACGGTTGCATTTAAAATTGAAATACATAACTGTTTACTGACCATTCATACTGATAAAGATAAACCTAAATTGAAATGAACAGAGTACTCCGGAAACAGTAGGATCTTCTGCAGACAGACATAAAGCCATAAGTTCTGACTAGCACGGGTTTCTGAGTTTCCAGCCCTGTCTCTGAAGGAACACAAGGCTGTGACTCCTGTATTGCACACTTCTGTCGCTGTTCAGCTGCTGTGAACTAGATTCCGATGTATATTTATGATGTTGTTCCTTTTTGTTTTTTCACCTATGGAGTGTTGAAAGGCAGAAGACCAAAATAATGAATGTTAGGTGTTGGTCCTACTGACACCCGTGAGGTCACAGCAAACCCGGAAGACGGCCGGACACCTTCACACTGGGTGTGCGCTGCCCACAGACACACCACTCATCCCCCGGCCGGGAAGGAGGTACGAAGCACTCTTAATACTCACTAGTAAGAAAACAAACAGCCCGATTTTAAAAATGGACAAAATACCTGGAAAGACCTCTCAGCAAAGAAGACAAGTGGAAAATAAGCATATGAAAAGGTGTTTCACATTCCACGTCACCTAGGGAACGCAAGTCAAAGAGTGAAACACCACTGTAACCCCTGTTAGAATGGCTAAAACCCCAGATGCTGACAACACCAAACACCGGTGAGGATGTGGAGCCACGGGAACAAGGATTAACTGCTGATGGAAATGCAAAACGGTGCAGCCACTCTGGAAGACAGTTTGGCAGTTTC